GAGGATTAGTCTGCACTGGTCCGGTCCTGCAGGGAGCAAACCAGGAAAGCCAAGTCTGCAACTGAACTCCAACTAGCTTCGAGCATCAAGGACAATGCTTCTCAAGCAAATTCTGGGACATCATTCTCCCCCTGTACTCGGCCTTGGTGAGGCCGCAGCTGGAGTACTGCGTTCAGTTTTGGGCTCCACAATTCAAAAAGGACGTGGAGAAGCTTGAGAGAGTGCAGAGGAGAGCCACTTGCATGATCAGAGGTCAGGAAAACAGACCTTACGACGACAGGCTGAGAGCCATGGGGCTCTTGAGCCTGGAAAAGCGCAGGCTCAGGGGTGACTTGGTGGCCACCTATAAGTTTATCAGGGATGACCACCAGGATCTGGGGGAACGTTTGTTCACCAGAGCACCCCAAGGGATGATGAGTTCAAACGGTCATAAACTACTGCTAGACCATTTCAGGCTGGACATAAGGAAGAACTTCTTTACTGTCTGAGCCCCCAAGGTCTGGAACAGTCTGCCATCGGAGGTGGTTCAAGCACCTACATTGAACACCTTCAAGAGCAAACTGGATGTTTATCTTGCTGGGATCCTATGACCCCAGCTGACTTCCTGCCCTTTGGGCAGGGGACTGGACTCGATCTTCCGAAGTCCCTTCCAGCCCTAATGTCTATGAAATCTATGAATCCCCACAGTAGCACACAGGCATTGCTACGCCTAGATCATCCCCAACCAGTACCTGTCCAGCCTCTCCTTCAACCCCGCCAGTGATGGAGAGTCCACAACTCCCCTGGGCATCTATTCCACTGCTTCCCTGCTCTAACTGTGAAGGTTTTCCCCAAAATCCAATGCACATGGCCACCATGCATGATTTGCTCCTGTTCATATACTTTGCAAGCGCTGATGCTCGTAAGCCTGGCAGTTGCTTTGGTCCATCAGGAATTTCTTTAACCCACAGTGCCTGCCTCACGGACGTGCTCAGTCAGGGAGTGAGTCTGCGTAGGGCCACTGCACTGAACATCTTGTGGGAGTATCTACAAACAGGGGGACTAATAACGGGCCATGTTGTGATACAGATGTAGTGGTTGGTGGGGTAGGTAAATGCAACATGGAGGCTCTGCACTTCCTGGAAGGGCTCATTCCCACAAGGACCTGACCACATGCTCCAGCTCGGGGAGAAAGATCTCCAATGCGACAAGGGAGGAATCGGAGAATCGGAGAACCGAGGGGCTTGCCCGGGGTCCCCCAGTCTGTAGGAGGAAGAGAACCCACAGGCCCAGACTCCCGGTTCCAGGCTCTAGCACTGGACCATGGCTACATGCCTCAGCAGCAGTCACTCTGCTGTACCCTGCTGTGAACTCCGGTCCCCGTCTAGCGCCTGCTGCTATGAAACCCAATTTGTAGGTTTTACACCCAACACCTTTAATCCTACAACCCAAAAGATGCTCTTCAGTGAGACCTGCCCACATGAGAGGCTGCCCGAGGGCACAGACAGACATACCAATCAATTCGCTGTCAAATATTGTGACTACCAACTGCTGCAGTGTAACCTGTAGGGCCTATAACGATACAAGTATAGCAAAACCACATTAACTTTAAATCTTGTTTCAGGTAGAATTAAAGTTGCAACAGTTTTGCTCTCCTTGTATCATCAAAAGGAACATGCAGAGGTAACACTTGCACTACAGCACCTGGTATGCGCTATCCAGGGCAGCTCACCCTCCCCTTCGAAAGCGGGTAAAGGTTATGTCTGTTCATCTTCCATGTGTAAATTGAACGTTAGAGGGCAGTGCAAGCCTCAGTTTCATCTGCATAGTTACAAGTGTGAGCCATGGAGCGCAGGCTTCCCTGCCCTACCGGGGGCTTCTGCTGCCTCACAGAAAAGGGAATCCAGTTTCCAGGGGCCATTCAGTGCTCGCCAGCCCTGCTGACTGCCCATAGCCATGCCAATCAGATACGGGGTGGTGGGTCTGTCATTTCAGACAGGCCTTTGAGTAGCCACCGCAGGCCTTAAAGGAGCAGAGGGAGGCTTGTTGACTTAGCACTGAGAGGCTAACTGCTGTTGCTCAGACCCCCGTTTCCTCCTTCCCTTCCAACAGGGCTGTGCAAGGAGAATCCCTCTTCCCTCTAAACTTCCACAGATGCTGCTGGGTGCGCAGTACCCGAAGGCTGCAGGACACTGTGATGTCACTATGACCATTAACGTGGTCCAGCAACTATACCCAGTAATTAACTGCTTCCATTCCTTATATTTCCTTTGCAATTTTCTTGCGAAGACCCACAGGTAAGACAAGGCTTCAAATAAGGTCAGCGTTTGTTCGATTAGTTATGTTACCTTTGATCATGTAGGCACATCGCCCCAATAAAACTAATTTACATAGAGATAGATGTGCCGAGGCATTCCCATCTACAGCTAAGACCACAGTGCCTCCTCGGTTTGTTGCCCTTGGGCTGGTAGATGCGACATCTGGGCCACACTCAGAACCAGCGGCAATCCTAAGAGGGTCCACATACATGGAAGAGAGGTTAAAGAAGCAAAAGCCTGAACAAACTACGACATGATTAAAGCCCAAAGGAACAAGGGATCTAGGAGGAAGAGCATCAGAGCAAGCATTGGTCCTGAGCCACAGCAGGCAGGTGTGGGCTAGAAAAGAAAGAGCGATATACCCAAAGCTCTCAGTGCGACAGCGGATCCCAGAGGTGACATCAGGAGGGGGCAGGTCGGGGATGGAGTCCATCTGGAGGAAATAAGAGGAGGTGGTGTGATGGTAATAGATAGGGTGAGCATGGCAAGCAGGAGCAGATGCAGTGGTGGTGGAGGCAGAAGAGCAAGAGGAGGAAGAGGTGGTGGTGGCTGATGATGGGCCGGTTCCGTGCAGGTCGGAACTGAGAGATTGTCCACCGGTGAGGCTGTGCATTCGACGGAGAGACACTCGGCCTGCCAGGTAATGAACAGGCTGGCCCAAGTCATTCTGGCCTTGCACGTAACTCTCTACCAACCTCTGAGATCCAAGGGCGTGCTGGGGGTCCACGAGGCGCTGGCGGACACCGCTCGGCAAGACAGGGGCTGTAAGGAGAGAGAGAAGAAGGCTGAGTGCAGTGGGGGAAGCCCCTGCACACCAAATCAGCCAGGCGGCATAGGCCAGTAACACCAGTTGTGGCTATCAAACCATCTCGACGGGGCACAGCTCTGGCCCTTTTGGCCGCTGCATCAGCTGCGTTGTGTTAGACACTGTGAAAACGTAAATCTTGGCTCCGGTTTGATGTGCTAGATTAATGACCTTGCCCGTGGGGAGTGAGGCTTGATGTTCTTGCCAGAAGTCAACTGCTTCTGATCCTGCCCTGACTTAACACATACTCCTACCAGAGATGAGACTGGAGCGGGGACTCAGAATTGGACCTCACTCACACAACTTTTACCCCTA